AATGACTGTTTCTTTTGCCGTGCAGAAGCTGTGGAATTTATGCTGAAAGAGTTGGCTAAACATACATATTCAACGGGTTACAGGAGGAGCTATGAATATTCAGGAAGGGGGTCCTGACACATGCATACCGAAAAAACACAGATGTTACTTGCATCCCATATTCACTGTGGGGTGGAGACTTAACATTAAATGCATTAGAGTTAGGCCCTATATGTCAAAAGATGAAGCAGGGACTCAAAGGCTCGCAAATATGCAGCCTCTGTCAACATACCAGAACCAGTCCCTGCTCAGTAGTCTTTTACGGGGAGAAAACTACAGAAATCAGTCTTTTGTCCAATCCAAGCTATAGTCACGGCTTTTGGAACAGGAGAGTCATTCAGTGTCTGTCAGTGGAGGAGCTGAAAGTGGATTTTTTTTTTTTTTTTTTTTTTGAGACCGGATCTCACTCTGTCACCCAGGCTGGAACGCAGTGGCGCAATCTCTGCTCGCTGCTACCTCTGCCTCCTGAGTTCAAGCAATGCTCCCATTTCAGCCTCCTGAGTAGCTGGGACTACAGGCATGCACCACCACACCTGGGTAATTTTTGTAATTTTTGGTAGAGACGGGATTTCACCATGTTGGCCAGGCTGCTCTCGAACTCCTGACCTCAACTGATCTGCCTGCCTCAGCCTCCCAAAGTGCTGGGATTACAAGCACAAGCCACCATGCCTGGCCAAGCTGTAAGTGTTTTAATACTGCTTATCTTGAGGCCAGTGCTTGTTTAGCTGCTAGAAAGAAAAAAACAGCAACCTCGTGGCAGTTAGAACCTAGTTTGTTTCTTACGTGTAGGAGTGCATGCCTAACCTTCACTTGGCATAGCTTTAGGTCTTATTTATAATTTGGTATCTTATTGCCACTGTTCTGTCAGCCTTATGATCTCTTAACATTAACGCCGGTCAGTTGTTGCTTTTAAACTGCAAAGTGAGGGGATCCGACCTGCCACGCGGTCACGGCTGGGGGCTGTTTTCACGGTTTCTCTGGCATTCCCTTGGCGAAGAGAGGGTCTGTTTAGTCAGTTGGAGGATTAGGATTTTATTTTTAGTGCTCACCATATATGATCCATTTTAAAACATTTAGTTTTTGGTGCTTATAACACTTGAAGATTTCTCTAACAAAATAAGATGATATGATAAGACTATGGTTGTATAATCTTTCTTCCTCCAAATGCTACTAGCATATTCATTGCAGTTAACAGTATGCCTTTCTTTGTTAAACACTGGTAGGAACTGGCTTATTAAATATTCTATATTTTGCTTTCCAAGTCTAAAGACATTCATAGTAAGCACATTTTGCACTAAATGACTCTTATTTAAAATGGACTTGGTTAGATTTTGAAATCATGAAATGTCCCATGCTTTGGATGAAAGCTTTCTCTGTCTTAAATTTTCCTTAGAAGGGACATTTTTAAATAGACGTGTTGTCTAATTACAGGCCCAGTTTCTCCAGGTTGGTTTACGCCAATATGTTTTTAAAAGAAGTTGATGATTATTTTGTGAGGCCCGATGTTTAAACAGTTTTGGTTTTATTTTTCTAATTTGCAGTCACAGGCTCACCATTCACAGGGTGAGACAACCTTCTAATTCTTGATTTAAAGCTGTTTCTTACACCTTAGTTTTTCCCGAGCAATGCAGCTCAGAGCAGTGCAGCAGTTTGTGTTTCTACTCAGCTTGCTGGATTTGGGGCAAAACTTTCATTTTTAAAAATGGGCTAGCCAGTGTCAACCTCCTCAGATCCTCTCTTTGGGCTTCACTGTGCTGGCGCTTTGTCACACCAGTGAAACAGGATCAAAGCTTGTCCTGTGTCAACAGGAGCTCCTCTTGAAATTCCTCCGGAACCCTCTGGTGGCTCACTGGCGTACCATAGGAGATGTCAGGGATACTCCTGTTTTCTTTTCACGTTTGTGTATTAGCCAAAAGATATACAAAGACTCGGCAACTTTAGGCACAGCTGAATGCTAATAGCTGGAAATTGGAAAAGCTAGGTTAAGAGTTCCTGAAATAAATGTCACAATAGTAAGATGGAGAGCAATGCAAAATCAGGAAAGAAATGTCTGCATAGTAAGGGATTTATTAAGTAAATAAACACATGATTATTTTTTAAATTTTAACAGAAGAATGACTTGAAGAATATTTACAATTCCCGAAGGAAAGGCAAATTACAAAACATGCATCTTTATTTTATTTTATTTTATTTTTTGAGTCGGAGTCTTGCTCTGTCGCCCAGGCTGGAGGGTAGTGGGGTGATCTCGGCTCACTGCAACCTCCACCTCCCAGGTTCAAGCGATTCTCCTGCCTCAGGCTTCTGAGTAGCTGGGGTTACAGGGGCCAACCACTGTGCCTGGCTAATTTTTGTATTTTTGGTAGAGACAGGGTTTCACTCTGTTGGCCAGGCTGGTCTCCAACTCCCGGCCTTAAGTGATCTGCCTGCCTCAGCCTCCCAAAGTGCTGGGATTATAGGCGTGAGCCACCGTGCCTGCCCAGAACCTGTATCTGAATCCGTTTGTCCCTCCATTCACAATAGATTTTCAACGTCCCAAGCCCAACCCTAAAATTAACACTTTACAGGTACATGTGTCTTCCACATGAAACTTCTCACAAACTTTTCCTTTCTTTCCCTCTACTTTCTTCAAATTTCAGTTTAAACATTCATCCCTGGGATTAGGTTAGACCTTGTTTGCTTTATGTGCTTCCAGTTTGGCCCTAACATCATAACGGAAGGGAAGCAGCCTAGGTGATTATCAGCTTCATTTCAGAGATGAGAAATAAAGCACAGAGTAATTAAATGACTTACTCAAGATGACACTACTGGTGAGTGGCAGAACCGGATGAATCATCTTCTGATGCTACTACTGCAAGCCTTGTAAATTAGCCAAATGGCTCTTATTAGTAACAATCCTTCCTCAATGATGTCCTCTAAACTTCTCTAAGGGGATTTTAATGGTCTGACACAATTTTACATTGGGTTAGAGGAAAAACATATATCACAACTGCAACATTGACATGTGCGTTTTCCAAAGAGCAGGGATAGCAGAAAGGGATTTAACAGCCAAGGAATAACAGCTTAAACGTGGCTTTTAAAGTGGTGAGGTTTGAAGTGCACGATACTGAGTTTTTGTTGTTTTGTTTTGAGATGGAGTCTCACTCTGTCACTCAGGCTGGAGTACAGTGGCACATTCTTGGCTCACTACAACTTCTGCCTCTTGGTTTCAAGCCATTCTCCTGCCTTAGCCTCCTGAGTAGCTGGGACTACAGGTGCCTGCCACCATGCCTGGCTAATTTTGTATTTTTGGTAGAGACGGGATTTCAGCATGTTGGTCAGGCTGGTCTCGAACTCCTGAGCTCAAGTGAGCCAACCGCCTGAGTCTCCCAAAGTGCTGGGATTACAGGCATGAGCCACTGCGCTCAGCCGACACTGAGTTTTATATATTACAAGACAGTGCAATTCGGGGATTAAGAGGAGAAAAATACACTCTACTTAGTACTGGACAAAGTATCACCAGAGGAGTATATCCTGCTTTACGTTTCATAGCTTAAGGCATTTACATGTCAAGGCATTTTACAAAGCGAATTAAATATTGCCAGAAATGTTAACCAAATGGAAATAAGCAAAAGAAATACTGGGTTGACATATGGTACAGGGCTAGTCTTGGCTTTCTATTTACAGGCTATTTCGTAATGCTGCAGGGGCAGAGACTAACATGTAGTTACAACTGGGTTCACTATTCAAGGTAGTTACGTTCTATGAAGCTGCCGTGAACACTGAGTCAGCAAATACGGAACCGTTTCTTCTACAGCAAAAATAAGCCTCAGATAGAAAATGTCTGCCAACTGATCAATACAAAACCTTGTTTCATGTATGTTTCTGTTTAAAGATACTTAATCTAGATAGATAGATTGCTATATATATTATGTATAGTTGATTAATTAACACTGAACTTATGACCAGCAGTACTATAACTTATGCCTGAACAAAACACATGTTTTCTGTTCAAGGCACATCACAGATTTCTTGCTCTTAGGAACACTAAACAGCCCTTCAGCCCTGTGCTTGAGGGCCATTTGAAAACAGTGAAATCACCAACAAAAAGCACAAAGATGCAAAAAGCACGGCACTGTACAGATGGCAGAAAGACATTTGGTTATGGTATGAGACCTGACACATGAAGGTAGTGCCACCTCTTTCGAACTCAACTGTGAGTGGGCACATCAGGCAACTCAGATCTTTCACTGCTCTGTGCACGGCCTCAAAGGAGCACGAAGGTGTCTTGAGTATTAATTTAGGGGTTACAAATAAACTGTAGTGTGTAAGCAAATTCACAGATATTGGATCTGTAAATAATAAGAATGGACTGTATTTGTCCAGTAGGGATATAAATAATTTTTATCCAGAGAAGCAGAACCCCAAAGGTTATGTATTTGGCCCTGCTAGAGGGTTAGCCCATTCTAAATCTTAGGTGGAAATCAATTGGTTTGCCTATATAAGTCTAGATTCTCAGCTACTCTTTGAACTGCTTTAACATCTGATGGATTCCCTCATTAATTGGGAATACCACTGATATGTGCTCATTTTGTATTTTTCTGAGAGTCATGTTTTTCACAATTTCAAATGTGTACTTTATAAATATTCAGAGACCAAGGCAAAGAGACAATGTGCCCATAACTACGAAATGAGGAGGCTGAACCAGAAAAGTCCTAATGTCCTTTTTTTAGCGCTGGATTCTGCAATTTTAGGAGACTAAACAGCTTTGAGAGGGAATGGGTAAAGGATGGTTCAAAATTATTTAAACTATATTGATTGTAATACAATTTGTTAAACATTTTCACTTTAATTAATATATTCCATCAGTCTTTTTAGGATAGTATCAGAAAAGAAAAAGCTATCTTAAAATCAAAATGGAATTAAGCCATCTAAATAATCTACAGAAAGTAAAAAAAGATATTTAAATCATTATTTGGTAAGAGGTAAAAATTTTGTCCAGTCTTAACAGAGGTTATATTTAGAATCAAGAGAAACAACTTAGATTTGCAGAGGCCGCCACTGCCGGAAGCCCCATATCAGCCATGGTCGACCCCACCGTGTTCTTAGCGCCTCCGATGGTGAACCTTGGGCTGCGTCTCCTTCGAGCTGTTTATAGACATGCTTCCAAAGACAGCAGAAAACTTTCATGCTGTGATCACTGGAGAGAAAGGATTTGGTTACAAGGGTTCCTGCTTTCACTGAATTATTCCAGGTTTGTGTGTCAGGGTGGTGACTTCACACGCAGTAATGGCACTGGTGGCAAGTCCACCTATGGGGAGAAATTTGATGATGAAAACTCCGTCCTGAAGCGTACAGGCCCTGGCAGCTTGTCCGTGGCAAATGCTGGACCCAACACAAATGGTTCCCAGTTTTTCTTCTGCACAGCCAAGATGGAGTGGTTGGATGGCAAGCATGTGGTCTCTGGCAAGGTGAAAGAAGGCATGAATACTGTGGACGCCACGGAGCACTTTGGGTCCAGGAATGGCAAAGCCAGCAAGAAGATCACCATGGCTGACTGTGGACAATTCTGATAAGTCTGACTAGTGCTTTACCTTAACCACCAGAATGATAAGAAATCAATTTCTTTTTTAATACGGTGCCCAGTCTTGAACCACGTTGCAGGACACAGGGTCAACAAATTATTCTCCAGGTTTAAGACTTACTGTTGTTTTCACTGTTAGTTTTAGATTTTCTGTGAACCAGTTTCACATTTCTCCCTTTTGAAAAAGGAATGTCCATTCTATATCTGTTCCAACATTGCATTTTGGAAGCATGTAACTTACTGATTTCATAAACTTACAGATGGAGAGGAATTTCCTCAGCATGAATTGTGCTTGGATGCCCAACCCTATCTGATTTTGATCAGACTCTGGACTTTGAGCTTTTGAGCTGGTACTAGAACAAGTCAAAACCTTTTGGGGCCATTGGGATGTAATGAAAGTATTTAGTATGAGTTTGGGTGGACCAGAGGCAGTCTGAATGTCCTCTCCAAAATGTTGAAACTTGATTGCCACTGTGACAGTATTTAGAGTTAGAGTTGATTAGGACATGAGGGTTCTGCCCTCATAACTGGGTGAATTTCATTATTGTAGGAGTGGGCTCATTATCACTAGTGCAGACTGTGAGAAAAGTGAGTTCAGCCCTCTCTGTCTCCTGCCCTCACCCTTGCTTGCCCTTCCACTTCCTGCTGTCCGATGATACAATATGACGGCACTTGCCGAATTCAGGCCTCCTCGACCTTGACTTTCCCAGGATCTAGCATGATAAGAAATCAGTTTCTTTTTTTTAATGTGGTACTCAGTCTTGAACCAAGCACAGTGGCTCATGCTTGTAATTCTAGCACTTTGGGAGGCCAAGGTGGAAGGATCACTTGAGCCTTGGAGTTTGTGCTCCAGTGCAAATGACATAAGAAAGGAAAAAAAAAAAGGACCCAGTCTGGGATTCTGTTACAGCAACACAAAACAGACTAAGACAGCGTGGTTGAAATCTGGGCAACAGGACTCCAGGTCACAGTACCCTGATGTTACATGTAACCGAAGACTCCTGCTGCTTCTGTGCTGCCACGCTTTCACCTTAGCAACCTGGCAAAAAATGTAGTGTTTTGTCTGTTTAAATCAGGTGTAAATCTCATCATCAGGAATATGTGACTTGGCTGGATGTGGTGGCTCATGCCTGTAATCCCAGCACTTTGGGAGGCTGACGTGAGAAGATCACTCAAGGTCAGAAGTTCAAGACCAGCCTAACCAACATGGTAAAACCCTATCTCTACTAAAAATACAAAAATTAGCCAGGCGTGGTGGCGCATGCCTGTAGTCCCAGCTACTCAAGATGCTGAGGTCGGAGAATCACTTGAACCCGGGAGGAGGTGGTTCAGTGAGCCAAGATGTGGTACTGCACTCCAGCCTGGGAGACAGAGCAAGACTGTCAAAAAAAGAATATGTGACTTAATTGAGTATTATTTTTATTAGTACTTACCTTTAAGAGACCAGGTCTCACTCTGTCGTCTAGGCTGGAGTACAGTAGCACAATCACAGCTCACTAAGCCTTGAATTCCTGGGCTTGAGTGATCCTCCCACCTTGACCTCCCAAAGTTCGAATTACAGGCATGAGCCACTGCAGCCTGCCCAATTATTATTATTTTTAAGCCTCAGTGTTGCAAATTGATGAAGCCAAACAAATCAAAGATGACAGGAAAGAAGCCCTAATTTATATCAATCAAAATCATCTTTTCTACCCTCTTTCTTCTCATCCTTTAGACCACCCAAGCCAAAGAGAGTAATTGCCAGTGCTGAGTAATTTCATATAATGGAGTGTAGCACAAATGCACTCTTGAACGAAACTACAACCAAGTGGATACATTTTTGTGTTGGTATTGCAGTATAACTTTATAAAAGAACAGGCTGGAATTTCTTTTCAAACATCTGTGACTCAGAATAAACTGTAGGAACTTAGAAAAAAGTGATTTCCGTGTTTTCAAAGTAGAGAAACAGAATAGACTGTTAGATTTGCCTTTAGAACTGACACTGCTCCCCAGCACTCATCTCAACTATAAGAAAAAACCAAATTGGCTAGACATGGTGGCTCATGCCTGAAATCCCAGCACTTTGGGAGGCTGAGGCGGGAGGATTGCTTGAGCCCAGGAGGTCAAGTCTTCATTGAGCTATTAACATTGCCACCGACCTCCAGCCTGGGTGACAAACTGAAACCTTGTCTCAAAAAAAAAAAAAAAAGAATAAAATTAATGAAATAATTCATAATTAAAAGTTGCTTCAGGAGGAAAGTGGGTGAAGGGTACAAAGGACCACTCTGTATTATCTTTGCAACTTCCTGTGAATCTGTAATTATTCCAAAATAAAAACTTTTTAAAAAAATTTCCTTCAGTAAGGGAAACGGGCTTTTGACCTTGGAAAGAATTACCGTTGTATTCTAGAATTTAGTAGAAGAATAAGGAAGGGATGTCTGTAGTCAGACTTTTGTCATTTTCAAAGAGTGACTATGGTGTCCTTGGAGGGTGACTTCCCTCAAATCAGTGGTGGTGAGTAGAAAAAGTGATAGAACGCTCCATCAAAGGTATGCTCCCTTTTCCCACTCAAGACTTGAAATCAAAAGCAACAATCAAGGAGTACTAACTATATGTTTTGGTATTATTTAAACATCTTCTCTTAGTGATAGAGGTAATACCTGTTCGTGGGCTGGTGCAGTGGCTCACGCCTGTAATCCCAGCACTTTGGGAGGCCAGTTCAGGCAGATCCTTTGAGTCCAGGAGTTTGAGACCAGTCTTGGTAAAATGGCGAAACCCTGTCTCTAAAAAAATACAAAAAAATAGCTGGGTATAGTGACACACACCGGTAATCCCAAGTACTCAGGAGGCTGAGATGGGAGGATCACTTGAGCCTGGGAGGTTGAGGCTACAGTGAGCTGAGATCACACCACTGCACTCCAGCCTGGGCAACAGAGCAAGACCCTGTCCCAAAAAAAATAAAAATAAAAATAAGGAAAGGAAAGAAAAAGAAAAAGAAGAAACAATATGTGTTCATTATAAGAAAATTTGGCAAAGGCCGGGCGCGGTGGCTCACGCCTGTAATCCCAGCACTTTGGGAGGCCGAGGCGGGCTGATCATGAGGTCAAGAGATCGAAACCATCCTGGCCAACATGGTGAAACCCCATCTCTACTAAAAAATACAAAAATTAGCTGGGCATGGTGGCACATGCCTGTAATCCCAGCTACTCGGGAGGCTGAGGCAGGAGAATTGC